TTTTTTTGGTTTGTTTTTTAGTATGTGAACCAAAAATCTACAGAATATGTCCATTTTTCATTACAGGACAAAGTCCGGGTCATCAGCTGCTGGCACATTTCCATCCTTTTCATGGATGTAGTTTACATTTGTAGTTTTATGCTGCAGATATAAAAGAAGACTGTTTTTCCAACATAAAGGCACTATGAAAGAATAGCAAATGTCTTTTTTTTTTTTTACAGATTTACCGTCTAACAACATGAAAATGTCTTTGTTTTTTAAAACCATTAATTTATACGAATGTGTTCCGTCTTTTTTACGATAGATGCATCATTAAAAACTATTTGTTTTTTTTTACCATAGAGTCACCATTTAAAAAGATAAAACGTCTTCTTTTGTTTTTACTGTGGAAATATTGTTTAGTTGCAGAAACATTATTAATGTATTACTTAGAGTGTGCGAATATTTTATTTTTAGAAATTTAAGAAAAATCTGACTCACCATCTCCCTCCATGAGGGAACGTCCAGCCTGGCTCCAGATCAGTCGGTTCGACAACTCGGCCCGGAGACGAGGCGATCAGCGGCGATCCAGAAACGCCATTCACCGCATCGTTTGTCTCGAAGAGAAGACTTCAACCAGAGCTCCTCTCTCCGTCCTCCAGCAGCAACAGACTCCTCATCCGATCCCAGCTACGACCACGGAGGATCTTCTCAGGAAGACCAAAACGAAATCATTCCCTCCTCAACCTTTCCTCATTCCCGCGCTGATGTCCGAAGCAGACCAGTGTCCAGAGATGCCGCCGCACCAGGAAACGATCGGTGCGCTGCCACACTCCAACAGATGCTCCGGCGATGTTCCTTCACATGAAACCTCCTACCAGACAGGCATGGGTCTTCAGAGAACAGAAGAGAATGACTTCATTTGTCACCTCGCTGACAACAAAGTTTACTGATTCCAACTTCTGACAAACTCCCGGAGCTGAGATCACGTGACCACAACAGTCCGACAGACGCCGACTCTGCACGCTGAAGCATGACGCCATCAGCCCAGTTAAAAAAAAGAACAAAAAAACAAAAAATAAACACACCTTGATGCCTGAACCAGGTGATGTCCTGCTACATGAAATCACAGACCACATCTCTGTTGGCCTTCAGACAGCTTAAGAGAAAGTCTTTACATGCCACCTCGCTGTCAACAAAGTCCTCCAGACACCATGGCCGTGTGCCTGAGCACGATGTCACCATGCTCTCTGTTGCTCCACTTGGGTTGCCAGGTGTGATTCATCCTGTCCACCATCAACCAACCCTGTAGCAACCTGTTCCCAGTTCCAGTTGCCCAACATACAGCTATTTCCGGCTATGTGTGTACCATCTCCCCTTTCCTCCCTTGACACTTCACAACAACCTTTTCCTTCCTAGTCAGGCACCGGGCTGCCAGGTCCTTCCTCTCTCCTCCATCCCCCATTCCCAGCAACCTCTCCCTCTCTGGCAATGGGCTGCCAGCTTACAATACAAGAGTGCAACAACAACCTGAGTTGAATTCTTAACATAGCCCTCCATCTTGGAGACACCGACATCCACCATACTTTATCTAAATCATCTCTAAGGAAGCAGCTTGCCCCAAAACTTCATTGACACCGACTGGGGGGCGTCACTACTGGGAGCTGTGCCATTGACCCTTTTAAGTACATTCATCTTTAATATGTCACAGACAAAAATAATTGAGTTATCCAGCCACCACATGTACTGCCCACAATTTGTAGCAGATCTTCTTTCAATCATCTTCATTTTAACAGCATCACCACCAGCTGCTATTCCTAAGTCCACAAGGTTGTCACAAGGTGTTGACCTAAAGGAAAACCAGTGCTGCAGTTACAAGGACAAACTATCTGCAACAGTCTTAAGCGAGTCGGCTGTGGCACGTCTTAGTGCAGATACCTGCCCACTTACTTCCTCTGCAGCAGTAGTCAGTTTTGACTGGCCTGCCCTTGCAACCGTATTCTCTGCCTTGATTCCTAGCACTGGGATGCCAGCGTCACTGCTACCCCCACGTCAATAACCCTCCACTTTTACACACCAGGATACCAGGTTCTCAGTTTCAGCGCAGATACCAGCAGGTTTGCAGCGTTAGATCTGCACTGTCATTTTACTGCACATCTTGTATCAACCTTCTTCCGTCTCCATAGACTGCCCGGTCTATTTACTCAAGCAAAGCCAAACTAATCAAGCAGGTAATCCAATGCCCATTACGTACTTCAAACTAGATTCACACCTAAGCCCTTAAAAATCTCTAGCACACCAAATACAAACCAGAAAATCTGAGGATGCTTCGCCCTCCAACCCTCACTTTATTGCAGAGACTGGTCAAGTCACAAGCTTATTCCGATTCCTCTTCCACTTTGAGCAAGTTCTGATGGCATCCAGAATCTTGTGCTCTGGCTGCTCCTTTCATATTGATGTAGCTTTAAGCCGAGGGGTTCCGCACCACCTAATTAAGGCCATGGGCTCAAGTGTATCCACTCTCTTATCCACTCCTACCCTCAAGACCAACGTCACACCCACTCCTTTTTCATTCTTATGGTAAGCTTTTGGGGCTCCGCTGACCTGGGAGCTGCTGCTGATCCCCGACTAAGCCTTTTCCCCATACCACATCAGCTCAACTCAGTCATCACCAACATAATGCTCATTTGCATTTAGTAAACAATCAAGCTTTAAATTGATGGTGTGGGCCAAGCTAGTGAATGTTAATAGTATAAGGAAGGAAGAGAAGGTACTTACATGCAAATCAAAGCAGAATATCATCGTGATATTTTTTGTATCCTAACCGTTGAAGTACCAGGACACACCGAGAGGAGGTTTTGAGGCATTCTTTCACATTTCTGGCTTTCTTCATTATCAGCCAACCTTTTTATGTTCATTCCTTTCCTCTCTCTTCTCCCAAAGGGAATCTTTGTGTTGGGTTTGCCCTTTGCTCTGGTCCAGTCAGGTTATGTGGGTCTGGTACTGCTGGTTGTGTCGGCCTGGGTCTGCAACCATACAGGACGAACCCTGGTGGCCTGTTTATATGAAGAGGAACAAAGGTGGGATTTCTGTTATATTCTGTGAATTTCATGTCAACTGGCCACCCACAATATCACTTAATTATGAAGTTACACCACTGGTGGTACATAAAAGTACTTGTTTTTTCTTCTTTTTTTTACTACAACCAGATGCCCCTAAACTATAGCTTATTGATAACACAGATGTACAAAGTAGCATATCTAACTCTGAGTCTGACATTCTGGCACATTTGCACCACACTGGTAGAGTTGCACATCTGGAATTTCAGCAATGGCAACTATCATTTACAAGAAAAAAAAATCTTTCTCATATGTATTTCTTCTGCTTCATTCAGGCACTCTTGTTATGTCACACAATGCATGATAGTTGTTTGTGAATTTCAGAGTCCGACACACCTACCTGGACATTATGGAGGCCTGCTGCAAAGGACTGTGGCCAAACTGGTCTGGAGTGGGAGGATGGATGGTTAATGTAGCTCAGGTAACACCAATATAAACCAACACACATAATCTGTATTCTGCAAATGAGGCTCTATAAACTGAGCCTTCAAACTTTTCTTTAAAACATATGAAACAATCTTCTAAGTTTGTGGAAGATTCATAAAATACTGTTACTTTTAAATGTTGTTTTTGATTCAGAAAGAACCTTTATTCAAAATGAATTTCACTGGAAACCAGTGAAATTACATCATTCTATGGATCATTACATTTAAAAAAAACTTAAGAGAAGAAATTTCCTTTGTTTCCCACAATATCCAGTAAAAATATGACACAAAATTCCCTCTCTGTGCTACCTTTCAGGTCATTGAACTGCTGATGACCTGTACGCTGTATCTACTCGTCTCCACCAGTCTGTTGTCCGACAGTCTGTCAGGGGTGGCTGTTCCCAGATCAGTGTGTTCACTGGTGGTTCTGATGTTCCTTCTGCCCTGCCTGCTGCTGACTGATCTCAGACCAGTGTCCACTCTCAGTCTGCTCTGCTCACTGGCTCACATCCTGATCAGGTGATGGAATGAATGAAGTTTGCTCTGACAGTGGATTTGTACAGGTTGACCAGTATCTCATGAAAAACTCACCAATCATTTCAACAATCTGTGTAACGTGCTCCCATTAAGAACACTTGATGGTGTTTGCAGCTGCTGCTGGTTAAGCTGTCTGTTCTCACCCGCTGTACCCCGCTGTTACTGGTTGTTTGATTTATTTCTAATGCCAGGTGCTTTGCATGAGACAGAAAACACAGAGCTGGGTCTGGCTTCTCTGGCTGCTGGAGTTCTTAGAGCTGTCTGATCTCTCAGAGCTTTTTTGGCCTGTTAAGTCCCGTGCACATACACATTATGTCCCAGCTCAGCCTCTTATAATTCAACACTCACGCAGAGAGAAAGATATTTAGTTTGGGTTTTTACTGCACTCTCTTTCAGAATAATTCACCCTCAGGACCAGAGGTTAAACAGCAAAGAAAAGCATGTAAGCTCTTGTTGCATTGAGTGACTGCTTGAATATGCTTTGTGGTATCTCGGGCTCAATATCACCATTGAAATGTCAAAATTCTATGCATTCATGAAAGGTACACTGAGATGTGCTCACATTACATGACTGGAGTTGCATTGATTACTTTTAATTACTTTTCATTTGTCTCAGCTTTATAGATTAAGCCTCAATTTATGCATTTGTGGCAATGTTTTTGGAATGATTCAGTAACTTAAATTATTCTAATTCTATTATTCCTTTACATAGCCAGATTTAGTCAGAAAAACATATCATGATTGTCCTCTAAAACCTAAGCATCTACAAAACATTAATCATTCATGACTGAAGAATGGCTGATGTTTTGAAGATGCTTTAGCTTTGCGGCATTACATTTGTTAAGCTAACTGAACTGGCTATTAGATGGTTTATTTTACTTAAATAAATGGGCAAATTTCGTAAAGCTATGCAGGAACATTTGATATTTCAGTTTAGATAAAAATGTAAAAATTACCAAATTTGGTGATTTGATGATAAAAAAAAAAACTACAAACGAAACATTTTTGGACTACAAAAATAATTTTATCAATTCAATTGAATGCAAATGTATTTCTGCAATATTATTTTGATGTGCTTTTTTTTTTTTACGAATTTTTGCAATTTATTATTTTTTTCCTAACTTTTGCCCTGCTTATATTGTTTAGTACACCTCAGAGTCAAACTTACTCAACCTATTAAAGATTCATTTTAAAGGTATTTTCAATGCTTTACCTTTCCTAATTGTCACCCTGTCAGCCTGTTGGTCATCCTGTACTGTTTGAGTCGAGCCAGCAGCTGGTCCTGGTCCTCTCTCTCCCTGTCTGTGGACCCAGAGAACTTCATCGTCTCAGTGGGCGTCATCATCTTCTCCTACACCTCGCAGATCTTCCTGCCTCCTCTAGAGGGCAGTATGGAGGACAGGGGCCAGTTCAGTGCAATGCTAGGGTGGACCCATGGAGCAGCCTGCATCATGAAAACTATGTTTTCTTTACTGGTTAGTAATAACTGGATGAAGAGGAAACTATTCTAACTCATAGCAGTTTTTAAAACCGCCACCTTTTCTAAGATTCAACTTTACAAGAGACCCGCAGTCTCATTAACAAATGGGTTTGTAGTGGCAGCTCCCCTCTAGTTTTACAGCTACTTGACTTTACTTTTTCATAGTAAAAACAAAAAAAAAACAAAACTGTTAAAGCACAAATACACAATAAGAGTCTCCATTTGGCTCAGCATCCATCTGACAACAGCAATCTTAATCAAGAGATGGAAAAGGTGACACACAAGTGGAGTGACTGATTGTGTCATTGTATGGATTCTTCCTTCCTTCATTAGGCGGTGTTGACCTGGGGGGCAGAGACCAGAGAGGTCATCACTGACAACCTTCCATCTGACCTTCGACCTCTGGTCAACCTGTGTCTATTGGCTAAAGCCCTCCTTTCCTACCCTCTGCCATTCTACTCTGCTGCTGAAATACTGCAAACCTGCGTGCTTAGAGGTGAAACCTCCCATACATCTAAACCACTGGCATTCCCAATAGTATGATCCTTTTACATAAACTAAACCTTCCATTAGAGTCTAACTTTAGGATCTGGGGTGCATTGGTTAAGATGTACTGTACAGTCGATTGGTATTTTATAAGTTACATGGACAAACATGGAGATCACAAGTGGTCTTAGAATTCTGTGGAGCAGCAAAAGACTGAAGAAGCACAGACATTTAAACACTAGACAGCAAATGTGTTTTCATACTGTGAGCAAGTTGGACAGGTCACAGCAGAAAACACATCAGGTAAATACTGTCACCATTGTGCACTTCTAACATTAACATCCATTCTACACTCCATCCATCCATT